GAATATAGTGAAAAATTGTTCTTTATTTGGTTCACAAAAAATTCACTGAAGTCAATGTGATAATACAAATTGAAAAAAAGGAATAACAATAACAACAACTATTTAAAGATCCTTACAAAGTTTGTCAATAGAATGTACTATGATTTTAAAATTCAATTCCATTGAAATTTTTTTTTTCGATATTTTCCCGTTTTGAGAATTTTTGTAATCTCCTTTCTCGTGAATTTTTAGCGATTTTGAAAAAGTAATCTTAATCTTTTAACTTTGGTGTGACCGCGTTAAATTATTTCAGTATCATCAATTCGGTTTCTCCATCACATAATTCGGTACTACACTTCCATGTAACCCGCCATCAATTTTAGTTCTCAAGAAATCAAGTCAATTAAATAAATTGGTATTAATATCCGAATTCAAAAATAAAATATAAAAAACACTACAAATGTACGTTAGAAAAAAGTAAGTCGAAATGGAAAAAAAATCATGCAAAATAAAACATTACTATTGTACATTTGAAAAGTCAAAATGAAAATGTTAATATATCATATTTTTACGCGATTTTTTTGGATATTATCCTTTTCGGACAGGAGACAATTCCGAATTTGTATGAATTGTTAAAATCAGTCCAGCGGTCCTTAAGTTATAAGCGTAGTAACTAACACAACTTTCTTTTATATATATAGATTTGTTCATGTTCCCACAATTTATTTCATATAGATGTACATTCCAAATCTACGTTCCCAACCAATATTCTCTTGGGAGTTACAAATTCAATAGAATACAAAATTTTCCTTTCTGACCACACATTAGGTGTGAAAGTGGACTTGGGGATACTCCAATGTGGAGACTTTACTTAAATAATTCCTATGTGGCAATTATCTGTATGATGGTTCCCTTCCCCATGGTAGCATAACAAAATTTTTTAGCCAAATCAATTGATGAATGTGTTCAAGACCAATATGGGCCCTACTCTGAAAATTTCAAATTTTATGCGAAGAGGTTCTGTACCCCCTTAGACACAAAGATGCCTAATAAGGGCCAAAAAATAAAAAGGGACTAAGACCCCAAAAATAGCTTGAATCATACGATGGTTATATAAATATAAAATCGGGTTGTACCCTTATCCGTGAGTTATGATCTATATCATGACCTGCAAAAGCGATTTAAGGTATCTTGAATGTTTGGGAAGTCACAAAGTCCCATTCGCTCTACTATTTTTGGTATTTTCCTGATTGTACTCCCAAAGAATTTTGCATTTTGAGCTCTCATTGGACGGATTATTGTCACATAAAAAATGTATGTTCACGCTTTGAGATGAGGCCCATTAGGCTTTTTCGGTCATTTTTGATTATTTAAATGTGTTCGCATCTTCCAGCTGAAGCACGATATAGGCCCTGGAGTTGAAAGGTAGATGTCAGTTTACATTCTATTTCGCACTTATTTTGGTGAAAAATTGTATAGTGAAAAATTATTCTTCATTTTGTTCACAAAAAATCAACTGAATTCAATATGATAATAGGTACAAATTGAAAAAAAAAATGAAAAAAAAAAGAATAACAAATTGTAAAAATATTCAACTTGTTAGCCGATTTTTTACAGCAAATGTTTAAAGGTCCTTACAAAGTTTGTCAATAGAATGTACTATTATTTTAAAAATCGATTCCATTGAAAAAAATTTTTTTTTCGATTTTTTCCCGATTTCAGAATTTGTGCAATGAGATCTCTTTGTTTTTAGCGATTTTGAAAAAGTAATTATCTATTAACTTTGGTGTGACCGCGTTTAATTATTTCGATATCCTCTATTCCGTTTCGCCACCGCATAATTCGGTACTTCACTTCCATGTAACCCGCCATCAATTTCAGTTCTCAAGAAATCAAGTCAATTAAATAAATTGGTATTAATATTCGAATTCAAAAATAAAATATAAAAAACACTACAAATGTACATTAGAAAAAAGTAAGTCAAAATGGAAAAAAATCATGCAAAATAAAACATTACTATTGTACAATTCAAAAGTCAAAATGAAAATGTTAATATATCACATTTTTACGCGATTTTTTTGGATATTATCCTTTTCGGAAAAGAGACAATTCCGAATTTGTTTGAATCGTGAAAATCTGTCCAGCGGTTCTTAAGTTATAAGCGTAGTAACTAACACAACTTCCTTTTATATATATAGATATGTCGTTTATTAAATCAGTGGTGTTATGGATGTACAACATTAAACACCCATCCCCCCACCGGAATCTCTTAAAAATACATTGCCTACACTAAAGTAGCATGCTGGTTTTGTGGGGAACTACCATTACGCGTGCACTAATGTTGGTAAAACATCATCACAATGATCCACATTATGTAGTCTTAAATCTAATGTTTTTCAGTTGCGTATTCAAATCGGTTGAAATATTGTAAATGTCTCTAACTACCATATTGTTACGTTCTTGGATTTTACTTAATCCCGTGTAGACGTTGTTTTATTTCCCAATACAGCTCGTACCAAATAAAACGCGGGTTCTTTCGGATTACGATTATTACAATGATTCATTCACACAACTTTACTTTGCACTTTACTTTACTCGACGGTTTCAATTCGCGATCTGATTCACAACTGACTAACTGCCTTTCCATTTCCCCTATTTATATGAGCCTCGCCTGTCGCTACAGAAGTTTCTAGACGATCTGGTAACGCCTAGATTACGAACAATCTACCAATGCAACGAACACATACAAACTTACATTGAGTGAACAATAACAACAACACATACAAACTTACATTGAGTGAACAATAACAACAACACATACACAGGCGAGGGGGTAACAAAGAAAGAGGAATTAAGCGATCATCAATGATGACGTTTAACAAGAATTGTACGTCAGCAACAAAATAGAAAATGAAAGAGGAAATGGAAGGATGTAGAAAAATCTATACAGTAGTTGTTGTTGTGAAGTTATTCAAATAAACTGCGTAGTAGAAATTTACGTTACAATTCAAATTCTTAAATTAACGGAATTCATCTAAATTAACTTAAATCTAAAGTTATATTCGTAACAATATGTATTTTTCAGATAATAAAATTGGAAAGGTGCGAGCTCTGTGGTGTAATGACCTGAGATCGATTTATATCATGTGCTCATCGAAATTTGAGCTACTGCACAGACAATTTTCTGTCATAGGCTGTATCATCCATTACGAACTTCAAATACCAAATTTGAAACAATTCCGGTGAATAATTTCGCTTTAATCACCAAAATAGGGAGGTGCCTTTATAATAGAGAGGTATACCAAAACGAGGACCTACATGGCCCATTTTCAATGGCAAAAGTCCTGCAGACTATTATACATTTGAGTAAAATTTTATCAACCTTAAATTCGTTCGGAAACTAGAGTGATTTCCACAGACTGGCGAACATCGGCATAGATTTTTATGCTGATCAAGAATATATATACTGATGACAAACTTAATATACCCCATTATAGTGGAGGGTATAAAAATGGTGTCCATTTGGTTTTCTGAATTGTACATACAGAACACCTTGGTAAGAATTTATGGCGAACGTATTTATGTTATATTTTAGTGCCCAAAAGGAATTTTTTAAATTTAGATTCAACACCACCGCACAAAACTATATTTCACAATTATGGCCCCAAGACTACAATATTTAGTCACTCTTAATGGTGCATTTAAAAAACTCCACTTTATTTAGTGTTTTGCACCCATAGTGCAAAAGTTCTTAATTCTGATCCCAAAAGTACAGATCTTTGACCACATTGTTAGTATTTTTAGTATTGTATACTATTTAGCACTATTTAGTAAAAATTAACAAGTAAAAAAACATTAAGTACGGCCGGGCCGAATTTTTAATAACCTCCACCTTAAGGTAATGGAAACACTAGAACCAATTATGACCCACAAATACCAATTTTTATACATAATCGTGAGCAAATGTGGCAAAAATCATCAAAATACCGAATATCAGGAGGTTCCGCTATATATGGCTATACAAAAATGTGGACAATACGTACAATATTTCGCCAACGGGGCTAGAACTTATTATGGCCAACTAATTCCAATTTTTAGACAAATCCGTGATAAAATGTGACAAAAGCCATCAAAATACCGAATATCGGGAGGTACCGTTATATGGGGGCTAAACCAAAGAGTGGATCTATACATACAATGTTTCGCCGCACGAACTAGGACCCATTATGACCAACAAATCCGTGAAAAAGTATGACAAAAATCATCAAAATACCGAATATCGGGATGTAACGTTATATAGGGTCTATACCAAAACGTGGGCCAATATATCTCATTTTCAATACCAACCATCCTAGACATAATACAAATTATTCTGCTAAATTTTGACGCTCTACGTCAAATAATGTGGGATGTATCGTGATTTCAACAGACAGACAGACGGACATCGTTAAATCGACTTAGAATTTTATGCTGATTATGAATATATATATACTTTATGGGGTCTACGACGAATATTTAGGGATGTTACAAACGGAATGACAAAATTAATATACCCTCCTTTCCAAGGTGGAGGAAATAATAACTGACAAGATTTAGGAATTTTTAAAACCGATCCGATCCGATAAAGGGGGAGGGAAAATAATAGAAATAAAACACGATCGTTTTAGTTTCTCATTCAAATAAATATATGAATTCTTTATTGATATTTAAATCAATAGGTAACCAAATTAACCTTAGTAATTACACACGAATGTGTAATGTTGAGCACGAGCACTCAACCAGTTGCAAAGACGGAATTCGTTGAAATCTGACATTGACATATCAATGTTGCAATAAGAAGTAGTGAACAGATTTCAACGAATGTACAATACGATATGTGTTGCACCAATCTGCACCATGATTCCATTTCAAATAAATGGATACAATTCTTACTTAAACATTATCTCGTATCAAAAGTGACCTACATGTGATATTTCAAAGATCGAAGGCATAGTTTTTTATCCCATAAACACAGATATTAGTAACTTTACATATGTATTTCATGGCAAATTTTTAGCCGTAGCCAATTTTTCGGGATGTCTTCTACATTGTATTTTAAACAATTTAATATTTTATAATAACAAGAGATCGTATTGAACACATGGGTATGACTTAAAAAGTGTTCCATATTCAGCTGGTCTCATGCGAAATGGAGGATGGGCCGGCAAGTTCCAATGGATCTGTCGATGCTAGATTATGGCGCGCACTTAAGTTGCGTCGGCGATATATAAACGTTCCTATAACTACACCCACAACAAGTATTAACACAACTGTTAAACCAATAGCTAAGCCGACGGATGTGGCATGGGCAGTATCTGAAAGGCAAAGAGAAATTGTCAGCATTGAAATAATCAGTTCTGGAGAACATTAAACCTTAAAGTTTTCTTTTGAAACGGAGCCTACCCAATTCCTTGAGTTCCATTGTAAATGAAGACTTCAAATTGCCAGACCGAATAATAAACTGGCATTTCCATTGACCGTAATCGTCTCGATTGATATCAGTTATCTTAATGCCGCAATCGCCTTTAGTTATCCCCCGTCCATAATATTGTATTCGTCTGAAAAAAATATTATCATTAAAATATGATATGAAATAATACAAAGTAGGCTTTAGCAACATTTATGGTAGAATAATACATGTAACAGCAAATGTTGTACAACAATCATAACAACAACCACATACACATTTATTTTTGTACGTAAACAAGTGTCAGTAAAAGTCTATTAACTATTTTAATTTCAAAATTTTTCTTTTTTTTTTTCTTTTTTTTTTGGAATATGGATTATTGTATTAAATCCAAAAGAATAGTTCTGAAAATATTTGATTTTATTGCATTCATATCATTCCCTTCAATGCATAGTTGTAAGCTCTAGGTCCAAATTTCGCAATGTCTCTCATTCAATCGCTAATAAATCGTGGAAAAAGCAACATCCCTTTAAAATTGGAACTAAACTGCATACAGGGTGAGATAAAACAAGTTAAAAAGCAGTAAGTTCGGCCGGGCCGAACTTTTAATACCCTCCACCATTTGCAACGAATTTGGAAATTTTCAAAAAATAAAATCCTTAAAAAATTCTGTTAAAATTTTAAAAATACCGAATATAGCCGTTATATTGGGGTCTATACGACGTGGACATACATATGCATTGTTTGTCATAAGCCATTACCATATTCAAATTCGAAACTGGACCCGCACCGACAATTTTCTGTCACAGACTGTAGTTCCCATAACGAACTTCAAATACCAAATTTTAAACAATTCCGGTTAATAATGTCGCTAAAATCACCAAAATACCGAACATAGCGAGGTGCCGTTATATGGGGGCTATACGAAGACGTGGACCTGCACAGACAATTTTCAGTCTTAGGGTGTAGTATCCATTTGGAACTTCAAATAGCAAATTTGAAACAATTCCGGTGAATAACGTCGCTAAAATCATCAAAATACCGAATATAGGGAGGTACCGTTATATTGGGGCTATACGAAGACGTGGACCTGCAAAGACAATTTTCTGTCTTAGGGTGTAGTATCCATTTGGAACTTCAAATACCAGATTTGAAACAATTCCCGTGAATAATGTCGCTAAAATCATCAAAATACCGAATATCGGGAGGTACCGTTATATGGGGGCTATACGAAGACATAGACTTGCACAGACAATTTTCTATCTTAGGGTGTAGTATCCATTTGGAACTACAAATACCAAATTTGAAACAATTCCGGTGAATAACGTCGCTAAAATCATCAAAATACCGAATATAGGGGGGTTACCGTTATATGGGAGCTATATGAAAACGTGGACCTACATAGCCCATTTACGAACTTAACCTGCCTACTGGAAAAATAAACATGTGTGCAAAATTTTAGCCATCTATCTCAATTCATTCGAAAGATAGCGTGATTACAACAGACACACAGACAGACGGACAGACAGACGGACAGACGGACAGACAGACAGACAGACAGACGGACAGACAGACAGACAGACAGACAGACAGACATACAGACAGACGGACATCGCTAAATCGACTTAGAATTTTACGCTTATAAAGAATATATATACTTTGTTGGGTCTGACATGAGTACTTCGAGGAGTTACAAACGGAATGACAAAGTTAATATACCCTCCATAGCATGGTGGAGGGTATAAAAACTGCAATAAAGTGAAACGCCATATTTTTTACATTTTTTAAATTTTAATTGAATGAAAGCAAAAAATGTCGGAAATAGCATCCAATTTTAGATTAAGTTTACATTTGTTCGAATTGGTCACCTTTGGCACAAATTATGGCCTTCAAACGGCCAATGGAACCGTCACATCCTGCCCGAATGTTGCTCTGCGGTATTCTGGTCCATTCCCGGCGAAGCACCTGATCGATCGACACTTTGGTATTTTTTAGTGCCAACCTTGCTTTCCAAAATACTACAGGCACAATAGTCCAAAGGATTGGTATCCGGAGATTTTGGTGGCCATTGCGCGCTGGAAATGAAGCGAGGAACATCATTTTGTAACCATTCTTGGGTGGCGCGTGCTGAGTCCTGTTGGAATGTCCAAGGTCTGTGGCCAAAATGTTTGAGTGCCCAAGGCTTTAATACCCCCTCCAGAATATTTTCGCGAAAATATTCGGCATTTACTCTGATGCCACGGTCGATTAATACGAGCGGAGAACGACCATCGGCTGTTATGGCGACCCACACTATCACCATGGCCGGCGCTTGAGTTCTGGTGACCAACCGAAGGTGTACATTTTAAGCTGACCTCTTTGCAAGTAAACACGATAATTTTGTTTGTTTACAAACTGCTGGACAACAAATATTTTCTCATCGGAGACATCCAAATTCGGCAGTTCACCACTTTCGGCTAAGCGAAGCAACTCCTTAGTTCTTTTGAGTCTATTTTCTTTCCGTTGCGGTGTAAGTTCTTGCACTTTTTGGAATTTCAATGGCTTTACCCCGAGCTCACTTTTCAATATTTCCCGAATAGAATATTGCAATATGTTCAGCTCACAAGCCATTTTTCGGCCACTGCGACGCGGGTTTCGATCAAGTCGCTTCTTTACTTTTCGAACCATTTCTGCTGATGTTGCTGTTTTCTTCCGTCCACTTCCTTGACGTCGGACTACGCTACCAGTATCACGGTAATGAGCGATGGTACGAGGCCCAAAAGATTTATTCACATTTAAATGCTGGAGTGCTCTAACGATAGCCACTTAGGGTTTTCCAGCCAAATATAAAGAAATCACGCTATCACGCTTGAATTCCATCACGAATAATTTTTTCCAGAAAATTCTCACCAAAATGCTTTTGTACGCTTTTAAACAATATATTGAGCTGTCACTGCAACAATTTTAACATCTGTCGGATGAGTGGCTTAGAAATGAAGTTGGTTGCAGTTTTTTCATTTCACCCTGTACATTGAAAACATCCTGAGAGTTGACCACAAATATGAGGTTTTCTTTTGGTGTTTATATAGTCCTTCTATAAATAGAACATTCCCTAAAAACCCCCATATATATCTCTATCGCTGCTAAATATGAACAAAACAATGATGCCGATAACAGCTGCATTCTGTGTGAGGATGTTGAACATAAAAATCTGTATATTTTTAAGCAGCATTAAATTCTTATTCTCAATGTCCAACTGTGCTATGACTCTAAATTTTGCTCATAATCATATTTTTATGCAATTGGCCATGTTTACGCAGATCCCAGATACAACAACACCAACCAGGTTTTTGAGGGAATCCAACCCAACAAAAAATTTGGTATTTAGGATTTTTTTGGGCAAGAAACTCGTTTTTGTATAGCCCCGATTTGAAAAACAACAAATGGCACAGTAAAAAAGATACGGAATGGTTGTATTACGACTTATTTTCAAATCTTTTCTATATCTAAATATGATTCTCATAACCCTAAATACTTGGATGGAAATGCCATAATTTAAAAAAAATATATTTATCAAAACTTCCAAATTTGGAACGAAAGAATAAGGATATAAGAATAAAAATATAATCCCCGAAATATCTACCTTAGATGTATTTTCTTGTGAACTGATAAAGGGAACCCACTCCAGTTCGGTTATTGCCAATCTTTGCACATTTCTCGATGAGGGTCCTAAAAAATGTACTTTAAGCTTCCCATTTTTCAAATACAAAAACATCAGCATTCTTTCAAGACAGACTTTGTCTCTAAAGCAAACTAATAATTCCCTTCTTTGAGTTGCAAGCATGGATAGATCAACACTTGGAAATGAAAAAAATCCGAGATTTAATACACATTTTTTCTTACTTCTTACATTAATAAAACCACAGAATCGGGGAGAATTGTTCTTTAAGACTAACCATTTTATAAACAAGTAAAAAAGTAGTAAGTTCGGCCGGGCCGAACTTTGAATACCCTCCACCATTTGGAATGAATTAGAAAATTTTCAAAAAAATAAAATCCATTAAAAATTCTTTTAAACGATATTGTGGTCCTATAAAGACAAATCTATTTCTGGGTGTAAAGTACTCACAGGAACTCCTTGTGTGGATTTTCTGATAATTCATTGGAAAAAGTGGCTAAAATCATCAAAATGCCGAATATAGGGGAGTACCGTTATATGGGGGATATACGATATTGTGGACCTATATAGATAATTCCGTTTCAGAGGGTAGAGTGCTCATAAGGAACTCCTTGTGTGGATTTTCAGACAATTCGATTGGAAAATGTGGCTAAAATCATCAAAATACCGAAAATCGCGGGGTACCGTTATATGGTAGCTATACGTTATCGTTAACCTATATAGAGAAATCTCTGTCGGGGGTAAAGTGCTCACAAAGAACCCCTTGTGTACAAAGAACCCCTTGTAACCATTCCGTTGAAAAATTTGGCTAAAAATATCAAAATACCGAATATGGAGGGTACCGATATATGGTGGCTTTACGACATCGTGGGCCTATATAGATAATTCTCTGCCGAGGTATAAATTATCCATAAGGTACTCCTTGTGTGGATTTTCAGACAATTTCGTTGAAAAATGTGGGTAAAATCATCAAAATACCGAATATGGGGAGTACCGTTATATGGGGGATATACGATATCGTGGACCTGTATAGACAATTCTCTCTCAGGGGGTAAAGTACTCACAAGGAACTACTTGTGTGGATTTTAAGACAATTCCATTGAAAAGTGTGGCTAACATAATCAAAATACCGAATATCGGGGGGTACAGTTATATGGGGGATATACGATGTCGTGGACCTATATAGACAATTCTTTTTGAGGGGGTAAAATTCCCACAAGGGACTCCTTTTGTGGAATTTCAGACAATTCCATTGAAAAATGTGGCTAAAATCATCAAAATACCGAATACCGTGGGGGTACCGTTATATGGGGGATATACGATATCGTGGACCTATATAGATAATTCTCTGCCGAGGTATAAAGTACCCACAAGGAACTCCTTGTGTGGATTTTCAGACAATTCGGTTGAAAAATGTGGGTAAAATCATCAAAATACCGAATATCGGGGGGTACCGTTATATGGGGCCTATACGATATCGTGGACCGATATAGCCCATCTTCGAACTTGACCTGCCTGCAGACAAAAGAAAGATCTGCGCAAAATTTTAGCTTCCTATCTTAATTCGTTTAGACTGTAGCGTGATTACAACAGACGGACAGACGGATGGACAGGGCTAAATCGTCTTAGAATTTTACGCTGATTAAGAATATATACTTTGTTGGGTCTAAAATGATTGTTTCGATGAGTTACAAACGGAATGACGAACTTAATATACCCTCCACACTTTTTTTGGTGGAGGGTATAAAAAAGCATAAAAGTTTGAGGACTAATTAGCACGCAAGCGTTGATACTTACCCTTTGGATTTTATACTATTCACCGTCCCCACTAAAAATACACCACCATTTGGATCGATAAAAGCACAATGGGATATGGGTTCATCAAATGGACTTTTGCACATCAACTCGGCTGCATCGCCACGCTTTACTTTCACGACTTCTGTCAGTGTCTCGCCATATTTCGACTTTGTTATAACCTAAAAGCAATGGAATTGAAAAAAGTATTTGCACACATGTACATACAAGTATATTTTAGAACTCACCTCGATATTTTGTACTACTTCCTTGTCGTAATCGCGACCTCGAGCTCCACATAACCAGATGCCCTGAATGATAGGCATGTTATAAAATGCGCATTTTCCATACAGACGTTGGCTGTCAAAGCGTATACTTTCAGGTATATAAATTGTTTTGTTCGGATCCCTAAGGTAACAGTCGTGGATTTCAAATGGCACATTGCAGGAAAGTTCCTCAATCACATTTTTGGCCCCATCCTCTGGTTTATAGACTTTCACGGTAGTTAGCTGTGGCATATTGGACAATTCCGAGAGTATAATGTCGGATTTGGATTTGCCAACATAAAATAGACAGCCCTTCGGTATGCCAGAGGTGCTGTAACTCATAATTCTCCAAAGGCCACTGTCAGAATCTTTAAGAGGTTTTGGAATTTCCAACTCACACTTGGATTTTGTAGTTCTAGAAAGAAATATGAAATATTTATGATATCTTAAAGGCACGGACTATACAATGTTTCGATAAAGACCCCATGTGGCAATGCTCCCACAACGTAAAGCGAAACTCACTCATTTAGGGCTATCCAAAATGAAATCGTGTCTTACAAATATGTTAATTCAATTAAAGAAAACAAATCGTTATGACCTGTTTTTCTAAGGCAATCGAAAGAATTATTTCGTTCCAGCTCGATAGTAATTCATTTTGGGTTTCTGCAAAAGTATATTTCTGACTTTTACTCGAAGGAACAGATGACGAGTGGTGCAGAAACCATGAAATTATCGTATAATGCTGAAGACAATTTGCACAATCTATACCTAAAATTAATATTATTGGCACACGGTTTACCCATCTTCTACACTATTTTCTTTCAAGAAATCATAAAACAAAAAAACACAAAATTCGTACTCATTTATGTTGAGAAATATTCTAGATAATTTTTATATATTTTGGAATTTCATACTCATTAATCGATCAAATACAATCTCAATTTAGTAGAAAATCGTTAAAGAGACCCAATTTAACTCGACTTAGAGTGGCTGTCTTCGTTTAGTTTTCGATCGACTTATTCAATTTCAAAATTCTAGCTCTTTTCAATCACTCAATGATGATTTTTATGTATTTCCGGTCCTTATTGTATCCTTTAGGACTTTTTATACCTTATATCCCCCCTTTAACCTAAAAAAGATCGCCATTCTAAACTTAGCACTTTTAGCTTTAACGGATGCCGCATCATGTTGCCCCTATTTAGTGTTTTTTGTACCCTTCTAGTTCGATTAGGTGAAAAGCCAGTCTGATCGCACACAAAGAGTAACACTCGTGCAAAATATTAAAATTCTAGTTTAGCCGATACGTCGGGGTGCCTATTATGAGTCATACATTTACAGGGTTGCCCATATTCGACGGACCCATCTGGCAACGCAATAACTTTTGACAGAGATGTCATATCGCTTAATGACATACCGCGTTTGAAGCGTCAGTCCAAGCAGATTTTTACCATGAACAAATACACGCCACGCGAGCGCTCTGAGATAGTTGAAATTTACAAGAAGTCAATTGTGAAAACTCAACGTGCTTTTAAAACATTAAAAAATGTGAGAAGTGCGCCTTCTAAAAACACCATTAAGCGTTTATACGAAAAATTTTCGACTGGTAAGGCTCTTTCTAATCCGAAGAGGCCATATAAAAATCGACCAAGGCGATCGGCCGAGAATATCGCTGCCGTACGAGCCAGTGTTGAGAGGACCCCAAGAACATCCCAAAAACGCCGTTCTCAGCAGTTGGGCATGGCTTGGTCCACTTTACAATGGATTATTCGCATTGATTTTCATTTGTTCCCGTATAAAATTCAATTGACGCAAAGAATGTTGCCTGTGGACAAGCCTCGTCGATTGGAATGGGCCCAAAGGTCCGTCGAATATGGGCAACCCTGTATATTGTTAGAAATGTTAAGATCTACTTCTTCTCTATCTTTCAATACCAATCGTACGCTATTTATTACTTACCTTCTTTTCCAATTTTTGAAAACCCAACAGTTTAGATCTCCAAATCTTTCAGAGCGCTCAATATTAATGGTACTACATTTACGTCTTAGAACTTATAGGTAATTGTATTTCGAATTTCCTAATTATTTTCGTCACAAATTCAAAAGCCTAGATTTCTTTTTCTTCTGGATTACTCATTGGCAATGGTATCATATTAAGTAACTTTCATTACTTTTATAGCTTTTGCCCGACTTTTGAAATTCACATTTTTGTAACCATTTTTTTAATCATTGCTAAGCCACAAATAAAGCTCAAGTTCTGATCGCTTAAGTGCCACACTTTATCACGCACTTTTCGAAGTTTAGATACAAATTTTTACGTGCCACCTACAGTGGCGCTACTTTGTTTTACCACCAAGCTTAGGGGTGCACTTTTTCTTCAGGGAGGTTCCAACCCTTACACCGTAGCCCTAGGGGACGAACAATTAACATTAACACTCGGTACACCAATAACAAAGGGGTTTGACTCTCAGATCCTAACGACAAATATAATTATAAGGGCCCACTTTCTACGATCACTCACATAAAGACGACGCTACCCTACTTTCTCTCTTGAACAAACTTAGCATTCCATATTTAAATATTAAAATATAAAAAAAATTAAGATTTTTTATGGACATCTCGATACTTAAAACTTAACTCTAACACGGTTATAAAAGACAAAAAAGAAATGAAAACACTGAAACATTAACACCAGAATAATTATTTGATTTGGTGAGTTATTTGCTCTGATAACTCTTAACTTAACTAAGTCCGGCTTGTGTAACGCAAAAAAAAAAGAATTCCTACCTAATAGAGCTTTCTAAGATGGATGGAGACATATTAATTTGTCCAAGCAACAATAAACTCGAACTCTTACGCTCTCGCAATACTTACTAGGCTCAAGAATAAACAAAAAAGTAGTCAATTTCATGAATAACAAGTAAAGAAGCAGCTATGTTCGGCCTCCACCATATTATGAAAATTTCGTCGAAAAATACTGTTTATATGAAAAGCGTTATATGGGGGCTATACGAAGACTAGGACCTACATACGCAATTTCTTGTCACAGACTGTAGTGCCAATAACGATCTTTAAATACGAAATTGGAAACAGTTCCGGTGAATAATGTCCCTAAAATCATCAAAATATCGAATATCGGGAGGTACCGTTATATGGGGGCTATACGAAGGCGTGGAACTGCACAGAGAATTTTCTGTCTTAGGCTGTAGAATCTATTTTGAACTTCAAGTACCAAATTTGAAAGAATTCCGGTGAATAATGTCGCTAAAATCACCAAAATCACTATATTCAATATTTTGGTGATTTTAGGTACCGTTATATGGGGTCCACGGTATTTTGATAATTACCCACGAAACTGTTTCAAATTTAGTATTTCAAAAGATTTGGTAGATAACAATCCTTGAAGTATAAAATTGTCTATATAGCTTCCCGTTTTGGTATAGCCCCATAGAACGGCCTCGCCCACTTTTTGATTTTTTCGAAAAGTTTAACAGCATTATCCAAACGGTCCTTACGGTACTTGTAGTTTAAAATGGAACACTTTTGAATTCAGATACTTTTATACAAAAATTATTTTTTTACCCAATGGTGAAGGCGGCTGCAGCCAGCAGGAGCAAAAATCTTGTCGGGTTTCTTGTTACAAAAGCATTTTCGGTTGCACGCAACAAATTTTCCAAAAACTCTTCAGACTGCTGTCATTTCTAAGCCACTCGTCCGACAGCTGTTAAAATTATTCCAGTGACAGCTCATTATACTATTAACAAGCGTACTAAAGCATTTAATTGAGAATTTTCAAGAAAAAAAGTTATTCGTGATAGAATAAAAGCGTGATGGTGTGATTTCACCATCGCTCGTTACCGTGATACTGGCAGCGTAGCCCGACGTCAAGGAAGTGGATGGAAGAAAACAGCAACATCAGCAGAAATGGTTCGAAAAGTTAACAAGCGACTTCATCGAAACCCGCGTCGCAGTGGCCGAAAAATGGCTCGTGAGCTGAACATATCACAATATCTCATTCGGAAAATATTGAAAAATGAGCTCGGGGTAAAGCCATTGAAATTCCAAGTGCAAGAACATACACTTCAAAAGAAAGAAAATAGACTCAAAAGAGCTAAAAGTTGCTTCTCTTGGCCGAAAGTGGTGGATTGCCGAATTTAGTTTTCTCCGATGAGAAAACTTTCGTAGTAGTTCGTCCAGTAGTTTGTAAACAAACAAAATGATCGTGATTACCTTCCAAAGACTTCAGCGGAAAATGTGCACCTTCAGTTGGCCTCCAGAACTCAAGTGCCGGCCATGGGGGTGGTGTGGGTCGCCATCGCTCTTCGGTCGTATTAATCGACCGTGGCATCAGAATAAATGCCGAATATTATCGCGAAAATATTCTGGAGGGTGTATTAAAGCCTTGGGCACGCAAACTTTTTGGCCGCAGGCCTTGGACATTCCAACAGGACTCAGCACCATCGCACTCAGCACGCGCCACCCAAGAATGGTTACAAAACAAGATTCCTCGCTTCATTTCCAGCGCACAATGGCCACCAAAATCTCCGGATACCAATCCCTTGGACTATTGTGTCTGGAGTATTTTAGAAAACAAGGTTGGCACTAAAAAATACCTCAAGCAAGCGTTTCGCCGGCAATGGACCAAAATACCGCAGAGCAACATTGGGGCAGCGTGTGAAGGTTTCATTGGCCGTTTGAAGGGCATAATTCGTGCCAAAGGTGACCAATTCTAAACTTATTCTAAATTTGATGCTATTTCCAACATTTTTTTGTTTGCATGGCGTTTGACTTTGTTGCAGTTTTTTTATCTCACCCTGTACATAATTCAAAATAATACAAATATCCTGTCGTCCTATCAGTACATCTTCGAAATCTTCGAAATACATAAAATATGACGATACGTGAATCCATATCGATATCTAAAAGATGTGGTCTTTAGTGCGATTCTCTAATAAATTAACGACAATTATTTGATAATTGTTGTTATTTCATAACTTATTAGAGAATCGCACTACAGACCACATCTTTCAGATGTCGATATGGATTCACGTATCGTCCTACTTTTTGTATTTCGAAAATAATAATATATTTTTCAGAGACACGGCCGTAATTTAATGTATGATGTACCGAGCAATTTTTCTATTGCCGGTAAGCTAGGGGCGAAAATAAAATAGTCGCTAATTCCTACCGACAGAAACAATGTTCTTCACTTTTATTTTATTTTTTAACCGAAAATGTTCCGTTTAAAGATACCAAAATTGGTCGGTAACTGGGCTTGTAGCTAGAGAATCTCACTACAGGCTTACATTTGACATTGACAAGTACCTCAAAACTTAGCTTATACCAAAAAGTGCACAGACAGTACGAAATGTTCGAAAGTCTTACATTTTGGGAAGGAAACAGATAGGCAAGCCTTCAT